CTAAAAGGAATAGAAAGTCAAAACGATAACAATGTGTTTTTAATTATTTGCCTAAGGAGTAGACCTAGTTTCACCAACGGGATATTGCATTGGCCCCACAAAACGTACTCCAGTAACACAGCTCTATGATTTCTGTTGGTAACAGGAGAGAACATTTTCCTAAGAAGCTTACCTAAAAGTTGCCGTTACGCTCTAATTCTAATTTGACGGAATGAAGCTCAGAAATTTCACATTTATGTCTGTAAATGGTTGATTCATTTCATCAACATTATGTTGAAATTTGTTATTGAAGTTCATTTTTCGACCAAAAAAATGAGCCTCTAAAATATGACATTTTTTATTTAATGACTCATATGTGTATATATATATATATATATATATATATATATATATATATATATATATATATATATATATATAACAGTTAATTTTCTTTTTTATTTTCTCTTTATCAAGTTACATGTCACCTCAAACAACAAAATCAGCCTTGAAATGTACCGAATAGAAACACGTGAGGCACTTGATGAAGAAGTTGTTAGGACTGCTCCCCTAGCGCTGCTTTTGGCACTGGGGGACTGCAAAGAAACAACCATTGACCTTTGGATCGAGGTCAACAAGCCATCATTAGACATTAACAACAATTGAATTTCCTCCCTTGACAAATTGAGAACATGTTGTCTGATTTGACTGTTGGTGATGTTTTTGGCAGCTATGATGTTCTGTTTTAAAACATTAATAAGTAAAATTCTTGTAAAAGGTTTGTTGATTTGTTGATCCAGTAGAATGTTATGCGTAGTCTAGATCTAGACTAGATCTTGATCTATATTGTAATAGTTCTTACATTGTAGGTCTAGATCAAGATCTAGATCTATCTCGATCTAGATCAGAGAGATCTACTGATACATAGATCTAGATCTAGCTACTGTTAAGTTAATGGGTGTGGTGGAAGAATCTTGATCTAGATCCAACACGGTTTATTTACGGCGAATTAATATTTTTATGTCGACAGATTTGTTGATCAAGAAGAGGATCTATCTAGATTAGATCTAGATCTAGATCTAGATATAGTAGTAGTACTACTTATGACGTAGACTGTACAGACAACACTACTTGGTAGTCTGTGTGTATAATATCTAAAACCTAGGCCTAGATCTGGTTTAGTATTACCAAAGATTCTCTACTACCAAGATATTGCAGAGGAAGTTGTTAGGGGACTTTACAAAAACTCAAAAACCTAAACAAAATAGATCTAGAATCCAGATTTAAAAAACTAGGTGAGAAGTGAGAATAATATAGATCTGTTATATGAGGAGTAGATCTATTCTCACCCCGAGTGCGATTACTCATACTGAAAGCCGAAAGAAGCATTGCAGTAACTTTAAAGTAGAGAATCTTTGGTAATACTGATACTATGCCTACTACTTGGCCTAGATCTAGATCTAAACTAAGTTTATATCTAGGTCTAGCCTAGGCCTAGAATCTAGATAGTATAGACACAGACTGCAATTTTTTTTTACTTGAAGAAGAGTAGACCTTCCATATAGTATAGATCTTGTCTATAGTACAGTCTATGTGTCATTAGGCCTAGTACTACTAGATCTAGAGTAGAATCTAAATCTAGACCCCAGTTAGATCATCAAACCTGTCGACATAAACGATAAATTCGTCTTAAATAAACAGTGTTTGGCTCTAGATCTAGAGCCGATACCACAAATTAAAAATCTGCAATTTTAAAAGAAAGATTTGAAACGTTGGGCTTAGTAGGCTTACATCTGAACAGCTAGCCTATGATAAGTCGATTGTCACCGAAACTATTAATAATTTCGTGTCTCCTTCTCCTGTCCTCCAGCCAAGTCACAAGCATGTCTCCATGCACGCTGTCGATACGAATGACAATGATAGTGGGTGGACTTCTGCTGGCCCATGTTGGAAGCGTCAGAAATTTGGAAACGCTGGGAACTTCCAATAAACTCTTACCCAACGTGATGAATCTTTCCAAAGAAAAACTACAGACACTGATGTATGCTAAAGTAAGTAAAATCCGGATGAGATCATAGCATCCAAGTGTCATATTGTAGTAATAGTGATACCAGAGTTTCTTAAATGTATTAAATACTCTCTGGTGATAGATGATACTACTACTACTACTACTACTACTACTACTACTACTACTACTACTACTACTACTACTACTACTACTACTACTACTAGA